GGGCATTTTTGAGGGCCGTTCAGTAAGAATGAAAGCTGCCGATACCCTTAAAATATATTGTCCGTGACAACATTACTTAACATACGGGTATTTGAAATGATTTATGTTGATGAGTTCAGTCAGCATTTGAAATGCGATCTAGTGCATTGCATTTGGTCCCAGGGGCTGGGGGCAGCTCTGGTTAGGAACCACTGGGTTAACGTATTTCATGCAGGACTAAGTTCCGCGAATAGCTGTACCAATAGTGGTTGAAATTTAAATTTGCGTCTAAGATTACCCAAAGAGATAGTAGGAAAGACATTGTTTGCGTGAAGATCAAAAAAAAATTTGGTGTGCCATCTCCACAGAGACATCTGTCCAGCTCTACAGCGGTGGTCTTGCGGAGAGAGAAGTCTCAGAGGGATGCGACGCTGACCCTGGTGGTCACGTGTGTGGTGTTTACGCTACTCGTCACGCCCCGACCGGTCCTCTCGGCCGTGATCTCAGACTGGCCCCCTGAGCCAGGGACGTCGAGCGAGGCGAACATTGCGTGAGTACCTCTGCTAGCAGACATTTTCTTATTACAATAATCACCTGATGTAGTGATACTGATTTTCTTCGTCACTAATTATAATTCTGGAGATAATTGTTATAAATGTATATTGACTGAGTGGTCACTTTTTTTTAAAAACTGTTTAATTTAATATATTTTCTTGCTATTGTTGTCAGTATTTATGTTTTCAAGGTCAATTGTATTAAAAAATGTGTTCAGGTAAATAACAAAATAAATTTAAAAAAAAACACACAGGGTATCCCAAATGCCCAAGGCTATTATCCATAATTTATCCACAATACTAAGGGGTTTAGACGTCATTTGTCCCCCGCCCCCCAGCGTAAGAAAATGTTTCTTCTTGTCTAAAGTGCAAAGCGTATATCATTATAAGATAGTGCTTTAAAAACACAGATTTAAACAAATGAATATTGGAGCAGCCTGCACGCTCGGTCTGAAACTTCAATGTAACGAACTGAAGCAAAGTCTGTAACTGAATATGGTCCGGGCCTGAAATTTACAGGTTCATCAAGTTTACAGGGTCATCAAATTTACAGGGACATCAAATTTACAGGGACGTCAAATTTACAGGCTCATCAAATTTACAGGGACATCAAATTTACAGGGACATCAAATTTACAGGGACATCAAATTTACAGGGACATCAAATTTACAGGGACGTCAAATTTACAGGCTCATCAAATTTACAGGGACATCAAATTTACAAGGTCATCAAATTTACAGGGTCATCAAGTTTACAGTGACATCAATTTTACATGACTTCAGATTGATAGGAACTTCAAATTCAGAGCAACCTCTCTTCAAAGTGACCTTAATGTCACAGGGAATTCAAATTCACAGAGCCTTTAAAGTCTCAGTGACCTTAAATCAGCGGTTCTCAACCTGTGGGTCGCGACCCCTTAGGGGGTCGCACGACCCTTTCACAGGGGTCGCCTAAGACCATCCGAAAACAAATATACCCCACAATTATAAAGTATTATTTTCATTGGGGGTCGCCACAACATGAGGAAATGTATTAAAGGGTCGCGGCATTAGAAAGGTTGAGAACCACTGCCTTAAATTCACAGGGACTTCAAAAAATGTTTTTTGTATTTAAAGCATTCTTTAGCTGAAATGTATATAACGGGTGAAAATGTTAAACAAAAGATAATTGATGTCCCTCTCTGTTTGTCCAGATTTCTCGGCCAGGTGTTCTACGTCCTGTCCGACTCCAGCCACGCCATCAACTTCTACGTGTACTTTCTCAGCAATCCACATTTCCGCCGCAGGTTTGCTCGGCTTGTCGAGCGGTTCCTCTTCAGACTCTGCTGCTGCTGCTGCTGCTGCAACCGACCTGGGAACGGCGTCACGACCAGGATCCGCGAACACTTGCATCTCGGGTCTGTGAGTTTATCTCGGGACACTGTCGGCCCCTGCGTCCCGACTGCTGCCAACACTGCCAACACTGGAAACACTGGCAAAACTGGCAAAACTGCCAACACTGGCAACACTGCCCACACAGGCAACACTGGAAACACTGGCTACACTGCCAACACTGCCAACACTGCCAAAACTGCCAACACTGCCAAAACTGCCAACACTACCAACACTGCCAACACTGCCAACACTGTCAACACTGGCAACACTGCCAACACTGCCAACACTGTAAACACTGCCAACACTGGCAACACTGCCAACACTGCCAACACTGGCAACACTGCCAAAACTGCCAACACTGGCAACACTGCCAACACTGCCAAAACTGCCTACATTGGCGCGGTTTCGTCTGCCGGCGACACGACGGTTCAACTCAGCGGTTTTAATGTGCAGGCTCGTCAGCAGAGTAAGTTGTGACAGCCAACAAGCTCGTCAGCAGAGTAAGTTGTGACAGTCAACAAGCTCGTCAGCAGAGTAAGTTTTGACAGTCAACAAGCTCGTCAGCAGAGTAAGTTGTGAAAGTCAACAAGCTCATCAGCAGAGTAAGTTGTGACAGTCAACAAGCTCGTCAGCAGAGTAATTTGTGACAGTCAACAGGTTCGTCAGCAGAGTAAGTTGTGACAGTCTACAGGCTCGTCAGCAGAGTAAGTTGAGACAGTCAACAAGCTCATTGACAGAGTAAGTTGTGACAGTCAACAGGCTCGTCAGCAGAGTAAGTTGTGAAAGTCAACAAGGTCGTCAGCAGAGTTAATTGTGACAGTCAACAAGCTCGTCAGCAGAGTAAGTTGTGACAGGCATTCAACAGGATCATCAGCAGAGTAAGGTGTGACAGGCAACACGCTCATTGACAGAGTAAGTTGTGACAGGCATTCAACAGGCTCGTCAGTAGAGTACGTTTTGACAGTCATTCAACAGGCTCGTCTGCAGAGTAAGTTGTGACAGGCATCAACAGGCTCGTCAGCAGAGTAAGTTGTGACAGACATTCAACAGGCTTATCAGCAGAGTAAGTTGTGACAGGCATCAACAGGCTCGTCAGCAGAGTAAGTTGTGACAGACATTCAACAGGCTTATCAGCAGAGTAAGTTGTGACAGTCAACAAGCTCATCGGCAGAGTAAGTTGTGACAGTAAACAAGCTCATTGGGAGAGTAAGGTGTGACAGTCAACAAGCTCATCAAAAAAGAGTATGTTGTTACAGACAGCCAACAAACTCATCAGCAAAGTAAGTTGTCACAAACATCAGCAGGGTTATCAGCATAGAATGTTGTCACAAAAATCGGCTGAGATATCAGCATAGAATGTTGTCACAATGTGCTTTGATATTATATTATTGGTAAAAATAACGGGTTTGAGAGTTGAAAAAAAGAAAAGGGGGCGCTTTAAAATGGATCTAGTCCCCGCGCGCATCTTGTCCCCGGGGGCCAAAACCCTCTCTACGCCTCTGTACCAAACGGGGGGGGGGGGGGTTCCTTTTTTTCCGCTGGGGGTCGGGGGGAAATTGTCTTTTTTTCAAAAAGACATGGAATTAAA